ACACATATATATATATATGTATATATATATATATACACACACACACACATATATATATATATAAGGCTAATATGCAAAGTGTCCCCTCAGGAGTTTGACCGGGCGTTCAATTGCTTGTTGTGACATGTGCTGACCACCAGGGGGTGGCACGGAATATGGAAGGTGACCAGTTGAAGCTGCGGGGCGCTGAGGGAGCAAGGGAAGGAGAAGGCGGGGAACTTGATCGCCAGCCAGGCCTAGGGACACTACCTGTGCATGGATTTCATGCACCAGGCCTCTAGTCTAATAGTAAACTTAGGTTAAGGCAAGCCTAGGATTATGAATTTTCGAAGGAAAAATTTCTTCACTCAGAGCCATAGCTTCCTTGATATCTGTCTGTGCCAATGGGTATATTGTTTTTCTCTTGAGGGTACAGCCTTTCAAGGACCCCAATTACATGCTGAGGTCTCTGTCCCAGACCCATCTTGCATTGGACCAAGACTTAAGCATCTGCCTCTACAAGGGCAATAAAACCCAATCCACCTAAATACCAAGACTGACATGTCCTTCTCAGCCCTTCATAGCCGCGGCAGTGCTAGCTCATTCTTACTGTTTTCATTTTCCTCTTAATTTTTTAAAAAATAAATTTATTTTTTTAAAATAAATTATTGATTTCAGAGAGGAAGGGAGAGGGAGAAGAGAGATAAAAACATCAATGCTGAGAGAGAATCACTGATTGGCTGGCTCCTGCATGCCCCCCACTGGGGATCGAGCCCACAACCCAGACATGTGCCCTGACCGGGAATTGAACCATGACCTCCTGTTTCATAGGTAGACACTCAACCACTGAACCAGCCGGGTTCCTCTTCATTTTTGGCTCTAGGAATTTTTCCTTCTTTTTCATGAAGTTAGGTTACTTGGTAGCTGGTAGTGATGCCATTAACCAAGATATTAAACTTAAAATATGAAACAAATTGGAGCAGAATCAAGAATGAAATAAAATGGAAAGAGTGTTAGACTTTAAAATGTAAGAATGGACCTAAAGTTAAAAATTCCCTTTAACACATTCTAACATTTTCTTCTTCATTTACTTACCTGCTGATGTCCAACTCGTATTTTTCCCATTGGAATTTTATATTGGAATTTATGCTGGTGGTTTCCAAACTATGTCCTGTGGGAGTAAGCTGACCTGCCCCTATCTCCAAGCTCTTTCTGAGTGTGGAAAAAGGGTTTAGATAAAAGATTGAGGCTTTTCTGTAAGATAGACCAAATATTTTAAATGTATAAAATAATCTTTTTACAAAAGAAATCTAATGTGAAGAAATACCTCTTAGTTTATATTTAGTACCCTCAATTTCTTATGTAAGTTTTAATTGGTTTAGAAGTATCCTTAAACAAACATTATATTTAGATTCCACATCAAGACTTTATTGTTTCCCCAAACGAATTAACCACTCACCTTTCTTTCTCTTAGGTTGTTCTGGTGAGGAGGCTCCTGGTGAGTGTGCATATGTCTCTTGAACCTGCTGAGTTTCCATCACTTCAGGAATCCCATCTAATGTGACGGATACATGGGTGATTGGGGCAACAACAATGTCATCTTCAGATGAACTAAAAATATTATTATCTAATGGAAATAAATTATCATCAACTTTGTATTACAAATCAAAATAATTTCATAAAATAATTTTCTGTTTCTATAAAGAATAAAATAGAAATGAAATCTTTAAATCTAGTCCCTGCTTTTTATTTCCTCTGCCTGAAATCAGATATCCTACACCAGTACAGGCTTGACAAAACTATTTCAATATCTCCCTTACTTGACTTCCTATCACCAGTCTCTCTCGCTTCTCTTTTCCACTCTTCACAGTGCTACTAAAGTTATCTTCTGAAACCCAAGTCTGATCTCACCATATTATTCTTCTCTATAAAAACTTTACACCAAAAATTAAAAAGAAAATTGACATAGCATGCCGTGTGAAGCTTCCCACAGTCTAGATCAAACCTACCTTTCCAATTTCATCTCCACTTCAGCTATACCAAAACATTTTTATCTACATCTGATTCTTTCTTATAGGTCTGTGTGTTTGGCTCAACCCACTCCTTCTACTTTGAATACCCTTTCCTGTTTCCTCTACCCTTTAAAAGCTTATTTGTCCTTTACAGCCAAGGTCAAAGCTCTCCGTCCATAAAGCCTTTCTCTGGAGTTGTCAGCTAGAGTTCTCTCTCCTTCCAGAAAACATTGTTATCTCTCTCATGACTTTTATTTTTGTTTTTTGTAGTTACTTGCATAAATAACTGTTTTCAAAATTAAATTGTAAGACTGAGGAAAGAAGCAATATCTGTTCATTTGTATAAACACTATTGTCTAATGCACTGGTGTGCATAGAGAATATCCAGTAAACATCTTGAATTGATTTAGTATTAATTAGTTTTGAATTTAAGTACTTTCTTGTCAGAAAAGCCCAAGAGAAGATGAATTTAAAAGCAGATAGATCAGATTGTTTGTGGTGGGATGAGGAGCCCACCCACACACCATAGAGAATGTCGAGTGGCAGAGGTGGCGACATAAAATGGGGCAGATGGAGAACTTGACTGAGAAAATAGATTTATAGGAACCTCTGAATGTGAACTTGGCAACCGGAATTTGAAGTTTCACCATTCCCCTCGGACCCTTGCTGACATCCTGATGTCTGTGGTCATTAGTCACCCCTTGGTTTTCCCCTTCCCTTGAAATAAAAGAAGCCAAATTCAGCACTTTCTCAAGTTGGTTCTTTAGGACCCTAGTCCGCCATCTTCTTTGCTTGCTGGCTTTCCAAATAAACTCACTTTCCTTGTTCCCTTGCTTCCCCCACAATAAATAAATAAAAACAGATCAAATGCGGCAATGAATTTTATGCCATGAAGTGTTAGAAAACTTTTCAATGGATGTTTGCCTATTCACTAATGAATATCTATAGAGATCAATAAATAATAATAGCTTGGATCCTAAACTTCCTAATACTTTCACCAATGAGGTTAAGAGAAGAAATTCTGCATAATCTGCTATTTCACAACTATATAAATTACTTTTTATTCCTAAAGGCCTTACTTCACAAATTAAAAGAAAAAAGTCTTGTTTAATTGAACACTTCTGCAAAGGTGCCTCAACCAGTACTTTACCTTAAAATGTCCTTGGGACAAAAAAAGTATTAAGCATGGTCTCTGTTTTTTTTAAAAATATTTTTCACCTAATAGAGATAGCAAGAATAACTTGTCAAAGTTTATAAACATGAACAATCATAACACATCACCACTCACTTATTCGTTTTTCATCCAGCATAGGGTCAGGAGAATCCATATTGAGGAGTGCCTCAGCAGCCTCAATAGTTTCAATTGTTTCATCCCCATTATGACAGGAAGCTTCAACTATAATACATTGAAAGAAAAGTAGAATTAGTATAAGCTACCTGTAGCTCTATAACCCATAGATTCTGATGTCTTGAACTAGGGTACATTCACTTAATACTTAGGCTTATATACTCAATTTACTTCACCATATAAAATCTATATATAACTATTAAATACTTGTCTATTTCTTTTTTAAAAATCTGTAAGATGTAAAAAAAAAAATCTGCAAGATGTGAGGCTTTTGGGTGAAAAGAAACAAGCCCTGGCTGGGTGGCTCAGTTGGTTGGAGCATCATCCGGCACACCAAAATTGTTGCGAGTTCAATTCTCGGTCAGGGCACAACTGAGGTTACAGGTTTAATCCCTGGTCAAGGCAAGTCTGGGAGGCAACCAATCAAAGTTTCTCTCTTGCTTGGCTGGTGTGGCTCAGTGGATGAGCATCAACCTATAAACCAGGAGGTCAAGGTTCGATTCCCAGTTAGTGGACATGTCCGGATTGCAGGCTCAGTCCCCCGTAAGGGGCATGCAGGAGGCAGCTAATTGATGAGTCTCTCTCATCATTGATGTTTCTATCTCTCGCTCCCTCTCCCTTCCTCTCTGAAATCAATAAAAATATATTTAAAATAAATAAATAAGACGAGGGACCTGGTCGGGTAGCTCAGTGGGTTAGAGTGTTGTCCCAATGCGCAAGGTTACAGGTTCCAACCTAGTCACATACAAGAATCAACCAATGAATGCATAAGTGGAACAACAAATTAATGTCTGTCTGTCTCTCTCTCTTTCCCTTCCTCTCTAAAATCAATAAGCGAAAAAAATTTTAAAAGAATAAATAAGATGGGCATTGGACTTGATTAGAAAGGGTTCAGGAGAACAGGCAAAAATCCCAGGTGTGCTATTAAACTAGTATGTCACTGGGTAAGGCATTTTGTTTCTGCAGACTCCATACTATAAAATTAGGTCCCTTTCACCTCTGACACTGATTCCAACAATCTTGGAATGAACTTAGGTCTCTGTTATTCTCTGACTCTTCTTTCATTCCTTTATAATTATAGTGAATTGCCACCATCTCCAAAAAGTTTTAGTCATAATCACATTATTAAAATCATGGTAATTCTGGTACCATTCTTCTCTAGTGGGTACTGTAGAACACTAATTACCCCACTATTAATTTCTTAAGTTTTTCTTAATTTTAAGTGTTTTTCTTAATTTTTAAAAAATATTAAAATATAAGTGAAAATTTATCCAAGTACATGTTAGATAACTGACATTTCTCGCATCCCAGACAGATGCCCAAAATAGTTGCACAATAAATCCCTGAATGGCTTTTAGCCCTTAACCTCTAGAGTCAGAACCAAGAAACTAAATAAAGAGCTACAAATGCCTTTTTTTCATGGATAAATTCAAGTTTCCTAAATGTGATAGTCATTATCCATAATCCCTTATACTGACTTGCTGAATTTCCCCCCCCCTATAATTGTGATAAAAATTACATGTTAATTTTAAAAGTTTGAATATACATTTATATTCAGAACTTTCAGATTCAGAGTTGGACTGACAGTATGTAACTCAATGAATATAAGCCTTTTAATTTTACATAAGGGTAAAATAATAAATATAAACAGTACTAGGAGCAAAAGTTCTTTTATCTCAATTAAATGAAAGAGATTACATATTTACACATTGTCCTCTTCCCATTCCTATTCAATCCAGAACAAGATCCTTTTCTTTTTCATTACTAAGAATATAACCAGATTTCCAAGAAATTAGTAGCTCTGTAAAATTTAGCTTACGTTTTCATTAGATTATAATACTTATTACCCTAAATCGTTGTTAAAGAGTTCCCATTTTCTTTAGATTGAAGATCTTCAAGAATCTACAAAATGCTTACTTACTCTCAACTGGGAAAAATATTGAATGCCTATCACTCTTAACTGTGTTAGGAAATGTGGAAAATACAATAGTTTAAGACATGACCTTTTCCTTTTCTATTGGTAACTGATACTCAGATACTGTCTAAGGAAATAAGTGATTAATTTTATGGTGTAGAATAGACTGACTTTTGGGCACTCTGTATTGCTGTAGGTTAAGGCGGCTTCCTAAAAAGATGGGCTTAGACTAAGTCATTTACAATAGCTAGAATATAAGTACTTTAAGAGGAAAAGAAAGAAATTAAAACAAGAATAATAGAAGGGAATGAGAATAAGTATTATTCATTTAAAGAAAATTAGCCTTGGCTAGGTGGCTCAGTTGGTTGAAGCATCGACCTGTACACTAATAAATTGCGGGTTTAATTCCGGTCAGTGCACATATCTAGGTTGTGGGCTCAATCCCTGATAGGGGCGCCTATGGGAGGAAATCAATCAATGTTTCTCTTTCATATTGATGTATCTCTCTCTCTCATAAAATCAATAAATATATTCTCAGCCGAAACCGGTTTGGCTCAGTGGATAGAGCGTTGGCCTGCGGACTGAAGTGTCCCAGGTTCGATTCTGGTCAAGGGCATGTGCCTGGGTTGCGGGCACATCCCCAGTGGGTGATGTGCAGGAGGCAGCTGATCAATGTTTCTCTCTCATTGATGTTTCTAACTCTCTGTCTCTCTCCCTTCCTCTCTGTAAAAAATTAATAAAATATATTTTAAAAAAATATATCCTCAGTTGAAGATAAAAAATAAAATTTTAAAAACAAGGTAAGTAGTCTATACCATTACAAAACAAAATACACAATTGCTAAAAATTACTTAACAACAGATTAGTTAACTTGGCTTTTATACATCAACTAGGGGCCCAGTGCATGAATTCGTGCACCTTGAAAGGAACTGTGGGCTGTGAGGCTGTGGTGGTGGGCACAGGGACGCGTCTCAGCCCATCCTCCATGCCCCTGCCCAGCCCCTCCTGCCATGACCCCTGGTCTCTTGTCTGCTGGCAGACCCGCTCCCGCCGCCGCCACTCCCATGCGCTGACAGCACCAGCCCCGCTCACAGCACAGAGCAACTGGGGCCGGTGGGAGCAGCAGGTGCTAGTGGGGCCAGCGCCATCAGTGGATGCAAGCAGTGGCTGCTGCCTCAGGAGCAGGGGGAGGTGGAGAAGTCCTTCAAACCCGCTAATGGCGCCGATCGGGACCAGCGCCGGGCACTGGCAGTGGGTGCCAGCGGTAGTGCAGATAGTGGGTGTGAGCGGCAGCTCCGGTGCCAGCAGCAGGTGCGCGTGTAGGGTGGGTCTGCAGCATGCGGGAGCAAAGACTTTTCAGTAACCACCAAAGGCTCACCCCGATGACAGCGACTGGTGCCCCGCCTTGTTCTGGTGCCCCCGCTCACCTGCTCCACCATGCTGCCACAGCCAACACCCACTATGTTCCGCGCACCACCTGGTGGTCAGCGCATGTCATAGCAACCGAGTGTTCAGTTGTTCCCTTGTTTGGTCTATTTGCATATTAGCCTTTTATTATATAGGATTATTATATAGGATTAATTTGGCTGACTGCCTTCCCAAGGGAGGAATCCCATGATGGAATGGAAGGGATGAACTGCTAAAGGAGCAGAGAGCTGGGATAATTCTTGAATGATGCATACAAAGAAGTTCAGCTCCTCTCAATTAGAAAAAAATTTCTAACAAAGAATATTTTCTTCCGTAAAAAAATGGCTAATGCTGCGAGTCCCCACAACCTGCAAAGCCAGAAGAGAAGCTCCTTCCAAATATGAGAAAAGTAACTGCAAAGTTCCAACCTTGTGGGTTTGGTTCCCTCCACTTTTATCTATGAACCCAAATATCTATAGGTCACATGGAGGTCAAAGAACAGGAAGATAGCCAATATAAAAAGAGGCAAGGATTTCAGTCTAGCCTGGATTTTTCAAAGAGCAATTCAACCCTTCATGGAGTCTTCCTCTTTCAAAGGCTTTAAAGTTTTCCTCTTAAAGCAAGCAGTCACATTTCCGAATTACTACAGAAGGAACACTAGAGAACTTGAATAGATTTTTAAATTAAATTTATTGGAGTGATATTGGACATGACCATATAGGTTTCAGGTGTGGGTTTCTATGTTATAAGACCTGTATATTGCACCATCAAAGTCAAAATTTCTCCCATCACCAAATATGAGGACCCCCGTCCCCCCCTTCCTCTGGCAACCACCACACTGTTTGTGTTCACAAGTTTCAGTTTTATATTCCACATGAGTGAAATCATATGGTTCTTAGCATTTTCTGACTGACTTATTTCACTTAGCACAATATTCCCAAGGTCCATCCATGTTGTTGCAAATGGCAGTATTTCATCCTTTCTTATGGCTGAGAAGTATTCCATTGTGTATATGTACCATATCCTCTTTATCCAGTTCTCTATCACAGGACTTTCTTTTTATTAAATATGGAATGTTTCACGAATTTGGGTATCATCCTTGCGCAGGGGCCATGCTAATCTCCTCTGTATTGTTCCAATTTTAGTATATGTGTTGCAGAAGCGAGCACTATGCAGGACATTTTGGTTGTTTCCCTGTCTTCACCACCATGAATAATGCCGCAATGAACATAGGGGTGCATATATCTTTGTGAATACTTGATTTCCAGTTTCTCGGGTATATACCCAAAAGAGGGATTGCTGGGTCATATGATAGCTCTATTCTCAGTTTTTTCAGGAATCGCCAGACTGCTTTCCATAGTGATTGTACCAGTTTACATTCCCACCAGCAGTGAATGAGAGTTCCCTTTTTTCCACAACCTTTCCAATACTTGTTTGCAGGAAGCCGGTCTATCCTTGCTGCTTGACACAGTCGCTGCAGGGAAGAAACATCTGCACAGCATATGTTTCAAGGGACCTGGCATATATGGCATACTGTTCTTAATATGTTTGCTCCCCTTCTTAGCGCTA